CAACGCCTTCTTGACGTTGTCTTGTGCCTGCGCCAGTCGTGGGGGAACGCGCGCCTTTCGTGGTTCCTGCGGTTGGCTGTTTGTTGATGTTGGCTTCCTCGAGCTCTGCTGATTTGCTGCTGGGGGTGATTTGTTGGCAAACCAAACTGCGTCATATATTTGTGTAGTGAAGGCCGTTGTCGCGGCCTCCACTTCCTCCCACGTGCCCTCCACGACTTTGGCCGTTGTAGCTTTCGCAAGCTCCTCTAGTTTGTCTTTTAATCTTGCGTAAGCCTCTGTTGTTAGTCGCGGGATGCGTAGTGGTCTTGCTCGCGTGATCGGCAGATTCCGTTGTTCACAAGCGTTCTCCGGCTGTGTGACGCTCATCTGTGCCTCTCTAGGGGGTTCTGTTGGCCGCTGCTGAGCTGTTGTAGTTGCCGGGACTGCCGAGTCGTCTTCTCTTTCGAGAGGACTTGTCGCTGTTGCCGGATGATCTGCCGATGAAGGGCTTTGCGAGGCCTTAGAGGGTGAAGTTCTCGGCCTTCTTCGCCTTTTGGGAGTTATTGCACCTTGTGGCGACCCGCTATGCCCTTCCTCTCCTTCAATGCGTTGCCCTCGTCCCCTTTTGTTGGGTTTTGGGGCCGCTGGGGTGGGAACATTCTGCTCTTTGTTGAGCAGTTCTGCTCTCGACTGGGCGCACTTGTTACTTGCGCCCCGTCGCAGGTGTTGGGAAAGTCCCTTCTTGGTGGCGAAGCTCCTGTTGCAGCTGGGGCAACAGACAGAGCCGGTTTCCGGCCCTCGCGTGGGTGTTTGGCTGCTGCTAGAGGGCTCGGCTGTTGCATTATCGTCTTCGCGACTAGCGCCGAAGACGAACAAAGGGATGCTGGCTGCCCCGTTTGTGCTGTTGCTGGCTGCTGAGGACAAGGGGGATAGATTCTCGAGGCTGCAGCATTCGCCTGCTCGACGGCGGGCGACGAATTGGCGAACAGCCTCCCTAAAAGAGGGCCTGTTGAGCCCGCTAGGGGCCTCCTGCTGCTGTTTCTCGAGTGTTTCCTGCGATTCCCCACTGGGAATTGAACCCTGTACCTCCTGATTATCATCTACGTGCCCTACACTCCCGGCTAAATTAGTCTCGGGTTGGTAGGGGGCTGTTGGACCCTGTTCTGCGGTATCTGGATTTTCGGGTAACGCACTACTGCCAAACGGTTGTTCCTGTTGGTTGTGCTCGCTCCCTAGGTATTGTTCGTCAGCGGGAATCGAACCCGGGTCCCTCAGCCTAATATCTGCTGCCTCGAACATCTCCACCACAGCGGTCTGTGACTCTGTGTGTGTAGACTGCTGGGCTGTGGGGCCCCCAGTGGGGGGGTCCTGGATCTCGTTGGTTTCTTCAGCCCGCGCTTCCGGGCCTTCTCCATACTCCTTTTGGGAGTTGCTGAGTGCCTGGCACTGGCCAGGGACTGCCTCAGCGATGGCTTCGTCAGCCATCGACTCCCCGTCGCTGGGCGGCTGCTGCGCTGCGGCCGCAAGTGGATGCAGACTTGAATCTGCATCTTTTTTGCTCGCTGTGTCTCCCATTGTGTTCAATGTAATGTTTAATGAACTAAAAAAACAGGAAGAACAGAAAAGGAAAGGGTTTTAATGCTGCACTGGTGCATGGGTCGGGGCGCGCCTGACGCGTGAGCTCAGGCGGCAATTCCGACCATTGGAAACAATGGCAAAATTGCCTCCTGAGGGTCTTAGATGACGATATTATGATAAAATATCATAAATTTCAATTTTTAAGGTAGCCAAATGCCTCGTCATCTAATTAGTGACGTGCATGAATGGATTAACGAGATTCCC